CTTTAGTTTATTCTGCTTATTCTCAAGGTTGACCTTGTATTTTCATTTGCCACAAGGTACACTTCCTCTTCCCTCAGCTACTGCACCGCCTGCCTTTGTACCTTGATGTTGGTGACCTGGGTTTCCAGTCTCCGGGGTGTGTTCTCCTCCAGCAATTTCTATATTCTTGCTTCTTGAGCATCTCACTTCTCCTTGGCCCATGGGTCTGCCTCCCAGAGTTCTCCACAATCTCTATCTCTTCAGCTCCTCACTAAATTTGGTCTGTGCCTTCTGCTCCTCACCTCTTGTGAGGGACACAGAGCACTCACGTTGAAGCTCCTCCCCTGTGCTTCCTCAATTTCTTTCCAGCTTTTCAGCCACAAAATTCTATCTCTATTTTTCTTTCTTCTCCTTCAGTAATCTGGTTTCCCTCTCATTCTGTTTTTTTTTTCTTTTTCCTCTTCAATTGTTTCTTCTTTTGACTGCATTTTAGTAAAATATTCCTTTTCTTCTGATTCTAACCATTCACATAGCTTATTTCATCTTTCATCAGTGTTGATGGAATACTGGACTTTTAATAAGTGTTGGTAAATGGACAGAGAGGCATCTTTCTAAAAAATTAAGATAGGTGAGCTTCATCAAGCTGGATTCTGGACTCAGTGGTATAAGTGGGGACAACTTAAAAATAAAATAAATAAAATAAATTTGAAGTATAAAAGTGTTTATAATTTTTTAAAAAGATTGTGAAAACTGGCATAAACACTATTGGTTATTGAGTTGGCAATGACCCAAAATGCTAGCTTTTTTTTTTTTTTTAAGATTTTATTTATTTATTCATAGAGACACACACACACACAGAGGCAGAGACACAGGCAGAGGGAGAAGCAGGCTCCATGCAGCGAACCTGACATGGGACTCCATTCCAGGTCTCTAGGATCACACCCCAGGCTGCAGGTGGCGCTAAACTGCTGCACCACAGGGGCTGTCCCCAAAATGCTAGCTTACAGAAGTATCTCAGAATATAGAAAAAGAAAAGAAATGGAAATTAGGAACAAAAAGAGACACATAGGATAAACCAATGAAATAAATTATTCCCAATGATAAGACTTTCAGGAAGAGAGAAAGGAAAAGAGGAATAACAGAAACTAAAGGGTTAATGGAAGAACTCCCCATGAGTTGGATGAAGACTTAAGTTTTCGAATGATAAAGACCATCTGAGTGCTAGAAGATTTTATTGGGAAAAAAAAAAATGCCTGGCCATGTCCTGGGGCAATTAATAAACCTGTGGGATTAGGAACACTCCTTATTAAGCTTTCAGTCAGAGAAACAGGGTTACAAAGGGATTGATAACACTATTGGTCTTCTCATTTGCAACACAGTAAGAAGACAGTGAAACAACATTATGGACTTTGGAGTGAAAAGTGCTGTAATCATAGAATCTTGTTTTCAAGATAGCGTTTATGAATTGAGGTGGGGCTGAGGTGTGCAGTATTTTTAGAAATACAAGACCTTACCAAGTAAATTGTCCCTGTATTCTCTTTGGAAGAGTTACTATAGAAATTTCAACAAAAATTGGACCAGGGTATTGACTTTAAGTTGAGGAAGGATAAAATATACCAGAGAGAGAGATAAGTAATGAATCAAGTGTAGTTAATTAATATGTAAAATTACCAGAAATCTATAGGGTGCATAGGTAAACATTCCTAGCTCTATAAATCTAAGATAAATTTCATATTAGTCATTCTCACATAACATTCTCCAGTCACTTTTTTTTTTTTACCAGAATAGTTTCATTCAGTCATTAAAATATCAGCCGCATGGAAGAATCAAACTTCTGAATTCCATTCTGAGTTAAAGCTTCTTTGCTTCCCCTGCTTGGAATTATCTGACAAAGACTTAAAGTATCTATTATAGAAAATGCTTAATTGAGCAATTGTGAACATTCTTGCAATGAATGTTATTTTTTTAAAAGATTTTATTTATTTAGTCATTCATGAGAGATACACAGAGAAACAGAGACACAGGCAAAGGGAGAAGCAGGCTTCATGCAGGGAGCCCGATGTGGGACTTGATCCTGGGACTCCAGGATCACGCCCTGGGCCAAAGGCAAGCGCTAAACCGCTGAGCCACCCAGGGATCCCAGTAATGAATGTTAAAACTGAAAATATCAAGAAAGAAACAGAAAACATAAAGAAGAACCAAATGGAAATTTTAGATGTAAGATACAGTATCCAAAATTAAAACGGAAAGCTAACGGAGTAGACTCAACAATAGGATAGAGATGTCAGAAGAGCCATAACTTGAATGTAGAAAAATAGAAATTATCCAACCTCAACAACAGAGAGAAAAAAGTTTAAAAAAAGAGAAAAAAAGAGCCTCAGGGAACAACTTCACTACCTGATGGCCTCATGGTCATGTAATTGGAGTTACAGGAGGGAAGGAAAAGAATATCATTCTGGAAAAACTTGAAAAATAATGACAACTTCCCCAATAGAATATAAACCTACAGATTTAAGAAGCTGAGTGAACCCCAAACAGTTGTCAAAACTCATCAGATTTTCCTGTCAGAATTGATGAATTTTACTGTGTGTAAATTGTAGTTCAAGAAATCTAAATCACTTTTAAGTAGCTAATAAAAATCTGTCGTTAGATAATGCTCATTGTAAACCTGCTGTAGTCAGACTCACTGCTACCTGTTGGGGTTATTGTGTGACAATAATTCATATCTCTAACAATCTGCTTGACACTAGCTAATAATCATCATATACTTATTACATGGCTGGTAGTAAGTGATTTTTGAAGTGGTTTTTTGAGTGATTTTAAAGTTTTTGCTAATTTAATCTTCCTAACAACCTTGTGAAGGAAATATTGTCATCTCTACTTGACAGAGAAGGAAGCTGACTACAAAAATATTAATTAGTTACTAGTAAGTGTCAGATTCACGTTTTAAAGCATGCTTTTTGACTTTAGAGACTAGATTCTTAACAACTACTGAGTATGGAGAGACAAACTCAGGCAATGTTTCATGCCAATACAATGCAATATGTTTTAGTCTCCCAAATAAAAGCTATTTGCCAATAATAAGATATAAAAAATCAGAGAGGATATGAGTAATTACCTTTTGAAAAAAGTAATTCGGTAATTCTTATTCTGAGTCTCAAAGATAGAGATAAATGTGAATTCTTGAGTAGCATTAGAAAATATGATTTTCTGGAAGTCCCCTGATTTTAGACAAGATACCTCATTTCTCCATCAAGACGATCATTTCATTCTTGGGCTCACTAGGATACTCTCAGTAATAAAGGGTAAATGCTCATAGCCTGATATAAGCAAAGGTCATGTTAATTTGTTAATTACAATTTTGTGTGCTTTAAGTCAAGGCTAATTCTTGGGGTGCCTGGGTGGCTCAGTTGATTTAGTGCCCAACTCTTGATCTTGGCTCAGGTCATGATCTAAGGGTTGTGAGATGGAGGCCTACATCTGGCTCCGTGCTGGGCATGGAACTGGCTTATCATTTCTCTCCCTCTTCCCTTCCTAGTCCCACACTCTAAAAACAAAAACAAAAACAAAACTAATTTTTTATATGAAGCTCAAACATCTGCTGTTAAATTAGACATTAAAAAACTGTAGAGATAATGTTTGAAAACTGAAGCCAAGGCCTTCACATTTGAAAAAAAAAAAATTGCTTCAATTGTGCTCTAATAATTCCAGCAGATGGCAATACAATCATTGTTAAAAAACTGTTTCACTATCCAGCTGAAAAAAAAAAGACCGATAAAAACAATATCTTTTCTATTTCTGTTTTACTTTATTTTTGCCTTTTTTCTCCCTTATCTGCATTGAGTCCCTTTAAGTTTCTAAAACAACACATTCTACACAAGAATTTGTAAGGTTATAAAGTCTGCTAACACCAGGACTGCAGATACCAAAGTAGACATTGATCTCTATTGTGTTGAAAACAGAGTAAGCGTAGACAGCTTTTGAGTCAGGAGTGACATGGTCAGAATTGTGCATTGAGGAAAATAACTGACAGGGAAAGGATGAGCAGAAGGATGTGGAAAGGTAGGGTGAATGTCTGTTTGAGTAGTCTAGAAAAGAGGTAATGGGAACTTGGCCTTGAGCATGGTAGTGAAAACCATGGTAGTGAAAACCTTAGATGAGGGATCACTGCAGATATAGAGGTGAGAGAACTGAGTGAATGATTGATTGGATGTTAGAAATTCAAAAGAAGAGGCAAAGATAACTCTTGTGTTTTAATCCTGGTTGAGGGGGAAGCTAACTAGAAGGAGAAGAAACAAATTTGGACAAAAAGGAGTTTGTTGAAGTTCCATGATGCCGATTCAACTTAGCAGGTGATAAGTGGGTTTGCTGCTTAGATGAGAGGTAAAATTTAAGAGATAGACACAGAAATGGTGGGTATTTGCAACCACAGGAGTGGATGAGACAGTCTGACAGAGAAAAAGGCTGAGGTCTAAGGAACCTTCTGGAGAATGCTTGTATTTAGAAGGAACTGATGATACGAAGTTTAGTGGGATTTCCAGGTGAATGTGATGTCTTCGGATCAACAAAGATAAATGGAACAAGAGTAACATATTTCAAAAAGTTTGAGGAAATTGTTTAAAAAGAGGCCAATGGACTTTGAGACACAGTTAAAACAGACTGATATGGGGTAGAAAGATTATTTTGAGAGAGGAGTGGGCATAGTATGAAAAAGTGTACAATCTCTTTTGAGAAGTTTGACCACAAATGGAAGGAAAGAAATGGTTGCATAGGTTGACAGGACAGTGGGAACAAGTGGAAATTTTTATACGAGATATACTTCAGCATGGCTGTGTCTGACATGAAGGAGACATTTGGAATTATACTAAGGTTGCTTTTTTTTTTCTTAAATGACATCTAGATAATTTAATGAAACAGCATAACTTCATTTTACTAGAAATTTGTGGATGTAAGAAAAAATTGAAAATATAATTTGAAAGTGAACATTGAAACATGTTTCTCATTATTTATTATTTATCCAGTGTCTGCTTGGCTCCTCTCTGTTGCTGATGTCTGAAGCTTTGAGACTCTGAAAGTTGGTCATGCTAATCAAGTCTGTTCCCAGCACCCAAGATCTTCTGACATTGTGGCAAGTGATAGCTTCGCAGAGTCTGCTGTAGCATCAACCAAGCATTTAGAATCACAGAAATCTCTGAAGCCCATCGCTCTGTTACAATATGTTAGCATGTTTCCTTGTCCACATTTTTTTATTCTATCCTTTCTGTTTTGTTTTTTTTTTCCTCAAGGAAAAGAAAGATCAGTTGGCAATGCTTGATCTTGATGGTAGAATTGCAGAGTTTGCTTCTTGCTACTAGAACTTTGGTGTCACTTTTTGTGCAAAGGAATCTACAGAAGCTGCCACTTGAATTTGAGGAAAAAAAATAATATAACCTTGAGTTGCAAATGACCGAGTCTGCCATTGAATATGATAAACATACTGGTTTCATTAAAAACTCATAGCAAGGGCAGCCGGGGTGGCTCAGCAGTTTCGCGCCGGACCTGGGATCGAATCCCACGTCGGGCTCCCTGCATGGAGCCTGCTTCTCCCTCTGCCTGTGTCTCTGTCTCTCTCTCTCTCTGTCTCTCATGAGTAAATAAATAAAATCTTAAAAAAACCAAACTCATAGCAAGACAGAATTTTCAAACACAGAGGCAATGGAAAGTGGAATAAAGACAAGAAGAAATAGGGGGATATTGTCCAGGACTCTTCTTATCTGTACTTTTCAGCACAGTTAAATGGTTTGCTATCAATTCCTAAACACATCCCTTTGAAACCTTGTACCGTTTCTGTCAATAGTCCCATCAGGTAAAAAATGAAGTTATTGCCTAGGTTAGGTATCCCATCCCCCAAGCAGACATGTCTGGAGGACTGGCAGGCGAAGGCAGGTGATGGGGCCCCCACTGGAGCTGTACAATACCAACTTTCATGCACAGCAGAAACCAGTTGCAGAGAAAATGAAGACATGGACTCTTTTTTTTTTTTTAAATCTGTAACAATCAGGGTGCTATTTTAACTCTTAGTTTTACAAATCAGAATTTATTTTTAATAGGGAAGCCTCCTATTTTGCACTTTTACTCCTGTTTATATTTTTGCAGAAGTGATTGATTAGGTGGTAAACACTTGATACATCTGTTATCCTGATCATTTTTCTGAAAATAGTGGGAATCCAAACTCACAGGAAAAACAGATTTTCAGAATAAATCCTCCTTCTTTCAATAAAGGTTTTCTTTAGGTTCGATTTTAGCATCCTAAGGATAGGAACTTGTTCCTTTTTCTTCGGTTTATTTACTTATTTATTCATTCATTTATTCATTTAAATTCCAGTGTAGTTACCATACAGTGTTATATTAGTTTCATATATACAATATAATGATTCAAAAATTCCATCTATTATTCAGTGCTCATCAAGATAGATGTACTCTTTGTCATGAGATGTATTTTTAAAATGCTATCTGTTTAACACTTTTAAATTGTGGCAGTCACTTTTGGTTTCTTTTCTTTTTTTTTTTTTTTTATGATAGTCGCAGAGAGAGAGAGAGGCAGAGACACAGGCAGAGGGAGAAGCAGGCTCCATGCACCGGGAGCCCGACGTGGGATTCGATCCCAGGTCTCCAGGATCGCGCCCTGGGCCAAAGGCAGGCGCCAAACCGCTGCGCCACCCAGGGATCCCACTTTTGGTTTCCTAGCTAACAACCATTTCCCACTTTTGTGCCAACAAAAACCTAATTCTGCTCACCTACCTGTAGCAAGAACTCTAGGAAGGGAGGGGAGCTCTTATCCCAGCTCAAGGGATGAGTAGTGATTGGTTTAAACCAATTTGGGTACTTCTACCTCCTAACGATTGGCTTGGAGTGGGGCATGAGCCAGTTCTGACAATGAGATACTGTCTTTTGGACTTTTAGGGAGATTTTTCTTCTTAGTGTAAAGAAGGAAACACAGGAGAAGAGGCCCTTCCCCTCTCCTACTTTTCAATACAATTGTGTGAGGACATGATGCTTGTAGCTGTCCCAAACTCATGGGAAATCTAATGGAACTGGAAAAAGCGGAAGCAGAACAATAATATTGTTTAGCTCAGAGTTCACTAATGCTGCAATTACTTCTGAGCCTCTGGTCATGAAAGATAAATACCCTCATAATAGCCACATTTAGTTAGATATTTTGTACCTTGAAGTAAAAAGCAGTTTAAGGCAGCAATTTAAAAAGATCTCTCACATTATCTCATTGATTCTGCTAAAGATCTTGTGAGGCAGGTGTTATCTGGAGTCCCAGAAGATACTGGAGATGCAAAATGCTGAAATGAAGTGATGAACCTCACAGAACTATTAGGAAGCTGACCTAACTTTGAAATCATAACTTTGGATGACCACTCACATGCGCTTTGTAATGCACTTTATTGTTGAACTTGTGCTGAATAAAGTCTGGTAAAGTTATGCTATAGTGAGTGAGGCTGAGCTCTCGGGGACATTTCCTTATTTTTGGGTAGATTCTCCTAAGCTTTCAGGTCTGTTGAAGGCCAGACTCTTCCTGAAACATTGGGGTGGACTCACTGTCAGAAATTCTTTTTCACATTTGTTCTATCAGCCTCTTGCCTTCTACTGATTTATACTGAAAATCTAGTCTGTTCTTATTTATAATGAAATGCCCCTGTTCAGGGAACCTCAGAGTGATTTGAGAAGTTCAGAGGAGTACAACCCCACAGAACCTTGTCTTTTCTCTCTCTGACTCCCATATTATTTGGACATGAAAACATATGATTCCTATTTCCACTTACATTTCCATAGGAGGGACTGGTTTCTCTATTTCATACTGGCTGTGACTTAGACCTGTGGCCATCTCTAGATCCTACCAAGTCCATTTCTACACAGTTCAAATTACAAATGCCTCGCACTAAAACCCTGTCACCTCTGCCTAATAAAGTACTTCTGAGAGCAGATATGACTATTCTCACTCAGTCTTAACATGGACTCCTCAGAAAATGACACCGAAGGCAAAAACTTACAAACTAATGCTTTATTGGGGGTTCAGTCCCAGGAAAACTAGAGTGAGGGACAATGGGTACATTATTGAGCTGGCCATAGCTTTGTAAAAACAGAACAAAACAAAACAAAATAAAGCAGAAGATCTATAGAAAGATTGTATAGACCTGCTCTGTATCAGAAGTGCCCATAGAGGACGAAGAGTGAGTAATGTATCTGCTGGCTTTTCCTCATCTCCTGTTTTATTTTAGTCTGAGTTCACCCCTCATGGGAATAACTCCCTTGCACTTCCAGGTTGCATTACTTGGCCTATCCACACAACCTTAGGGGACCAGAGCCTCTACAAGTCCAATAAGGCTGGCTTACATTAATGTCATTCATGAGGTCTATGGTGGTGATTCTGTGGGCATTTGGCGTTTCCAGGGCTACTCTTACTAGCCAGGAATCAATGCAAGTGGTCATGTGTGGGCATGGGAGTCTAGTGAGTAAGGCTCACTTGGGTGATATAGAAACAAACTTGGTCCAAACCCAATCTGTATTCCCAATAAAATGAAAAGAGATCACTCTCTTTCTTTTTTTTCTTCAGATGTCCTCACTTTGAAGGGGTTGGATCTCTGCCAGGGGTTGGTATCCTCACTCCTGTCTCATCATGCTTACCTGTTCCTTGAGAGCCATAGGTAGATGGACCAGTACTTATTTTCATGGATGAATCAAGTCAGTAATGCCGATCCACTCCAAGAATATGCAAATTATGAAATCCTATCTTGTGTCTTCACTGTTTTGAATATTCTTTAACTGTAAGGGAATTAATTCATATTTATAATCTGAGATCTTCTTGATTTCAGGTAATTTGTGTTACTACAATCATTAACACTTTATCAGAACAAAATAAATTTAAATGTGTTTTGGCTTATACAGTATTTTGTTGAGGGGGGCTGAAATTTTTCTTTATTGCTTTCATAAAACATAAACTGATGAGTTTGAATTATACACTTCCAACAGGGACAGAAAGCACTAGGTTAGTTCAAGGGGAAGGAGATGAAGTAGAAGGAGATTCATTTCAGATCATTAAAAATGGTTGTTCTAGTTCTGGGACAGATTTTTGAATTATATTTTTTCTTCTTGACCAAATTTTCCTATGTTTGTAGAGAATTCTAACAAAATATTTGTCTTCTTTCGAGAATAAGCCAATTCCTCCACCAATGGAATTTCTTCTGTGTAATAATCTCTCAGGAATATATTTGGAAACTCGTGTCTGTAAGGGCAGATTTGAAGACACAAGGCTGACCTCACTCCAAATGTCAGCCACAATACTTGAGCTGCATTCCTATTAGTTCCTGTCACCAACAAATGCCATTTAACCAATTATTCTTGGCGAAAAGTATCACATATGCCACAGGAAGCGTGGGAAGCCCACTCTCTGTGGTGAGGACAAGGTCTCAGGCTCATTGGGCCACATTTGCATTTCAACTGCATACTGCAATGTGTTGGCCAGGCCCTGCTTCTCATGGCATATTTGTGATGGAATTGGAGCTGCCCCCATAACCACAGCCCTAGAGTGATTTATGATTCTGGTGAAGCACTCTGAATTTTGGTCCACACTGTTAAGATAAGATAGTATCTGAAGAAGAGTGGCTGCTCGGGAAAAAGTCAGCTACAGATGATCTAATGGGTCTGATAATTCATTAAAAAATACTAGAAAGAGCACAGTGCCTGGACTTAGACACAGTTAAATTTCATTCCAGTCCTCCCCATTTATTAACTCTGTATTAGAAAACACTAGAGTGTGTTTTTAAATTTTTCTGAGCCTCAGTCTCCTCTGCAAAATGGGAATACTAGGACTTGCTCCAAAGAACTATTGCGAAGATGAAATGAAAAAGTGTGAGGAACTCTCAGGCTCACTGCCTACTTGTGGCAGGCACTCAGTGATAGTCCCACCTCTCCACTTCTCTTTCCTCTTCTGCCCAGAATACCCAATACACCATTTCTATAGACTGGGTATCTTATAGACCCTATTGGCTGGCTCATAGAAATCATCCCTGATCTCCTATCTGGATACCTTCTACTACCCACTCTAGAAAAACTGTATTTTTCTATTCCCAGCCTCCCCTGTATCTTGTGATGGAGGATACACTTCTAGCCAATAGAACATAAAGGAAATTCTCCTGAGAGTTTTCAGGGCAAGTTTTGGTTTACTGATAGACAGAAGCTGCTGTAAACATTCTCTCTTCCTCTTACCTCAAATGCCTTGGTCTGGGTCAGTGCTTTTGTGTCTGTGAGGAATAATCATGCTAAAAAAAAATCAAAAGAATCACAGGACTTCTCAAAGATGCAGATCCTGTCTTGGGTGAGCCCCCCAGTAAACTGGAGCTGCCTACACCAGTCTTCCAAGTAGGTAAGAAAAAAAAGGAACTCTATTTGATCAAGCCACTTGACTTATATATAGGTAAGTAAATGGGACAAGGATTGGAGGAAGGGGAGAAAGGAAGAGAGGGAGGGGGACAGTGAGGGAGGATAGGAGGGAGAGGAGAGGAGAGGAGAGAGAGAGAGAGAGAGAGAGAGAGAGAGAGAGAGAGAGAGAGAAAGAGAATTACTCCCATAGTATGTAGCTGGAGAAGCAAATCCTTTAATTTTTTGAGTATTAAATGTTAATTTGGTAAGCTATGTAATAGTTCCCCAAAAGATACCCACGTCTTAATCTCTAGAACCTGTAAAGGTTTCATTGCAAGCCAAAAAAAAAAAAAAGGATTGCAGATATGATTATGGTTATGAATCTTGAAAATGAAGAGATTATCAGAGAGGGCCCTCAACCCGATTATGTGTATCCTTACAAGAGGGAGGCAGGGAGAGATTCCCAGAAACACACAGAAGAACAGGAGACAAGGAGATGACAGAGGCAAGACGTGGGACACATGCACCATAGCCAAGGAACACCTGCAGCCTCCAGAAGTGGAAAAGGCAAGAAACAGATGGGACTCTCTACCAGGGCCTCTGAGGGACTATGGGCCAGCCAGTAGTGATTTTGATGTTGGCCCAATGATACTGATTTTGGACTTCTGGCCTCCAGAACTCTGAGAGAATGAATTTCTGTTGTTTTAAGCCACTAAATTTGTTGTACTTTATTATAGCAGCCACAGGACATCAATATACTTAGTTATCAAGACTTTCTGATTTCATTTTAGGGTATGAATAATAGTGATAACTGGTATATAATGAATGCCCTCTGTGGACCAGGCAACCAGACTCCTCACTGTGCACGGATCACCTCATTAGTCCTCACCCCAACAATCTCCTGAGGCAGCTGTTCCTCTTCTTTCTGTCTCCTAGCAAGGAGAACTACCTCAAGGAAGGTACGGAACCAGCGAGAAGTCATACAGTGAGGGAGCATTGAAGATGGAATTTGAGCTCAGAACACCTGAATCTGTAACCATTCTAGCTCTGCTGCTGAAGAAATGATGGTAGACCTGCGTGTATGTTCCTAGTCACATTCCTAAGATCAGTTACTACATGAAACAATTGTGTAGAATTGACATCCATAATTGGACATACTCAGGTCCTTTAACTCAGGTCCTCAAGAACACTCCTTCATAGATTAAAAAATGAGTACTTACTAAGTGTCAGATACTGAGTGGAGCATGAAGACTAAGACTCACAGTCTTGCTTCCAGAGGCTTCCATGCTCCCTAGTCTCCCATCTTTCATTATTGCTTTACAACTACAACAGCAATAGTAGCCATTACACCAAAAATTACATATTGAAATATAACTTTTAAAGGCTTTCATTAAACCAAATGTAAATTAATATAAATTAACCATAACTTTGAATGATCTACATTGCTATTCTTCCTCATATGTCTAAACAATGAAAAATAAATAGCAACATTGAAATCACTACTTCTAGTAACCTCCACAGCATGATTATGAATTACTTCATACCTCTGAGAAAATATCATTGGCTATTCTTTTATTTTTTCTTTCTTTTTTTTAGGGGGGGCTATTCTTTCTAATTAGCTATCAATATATTTCATTTGATATTTTCATAGCCTGATGATAAAGCAAGTGTTTTGCTGGCACAAAACTTTATCTTAAGGCTAAAATTTCCTTGCATGTATTAAGCTTTTTATTTTTAATCGGCCTTTTGTTTCCTCTGCTGTCTAAAAAGTGAATAGCTGAAGAGAAGTTCTCTGTTACCTTCCAGTGTTCCACAAGGTGGCTCTAAGACAGGCTAAGTCATTGAGACCTTATTTGTGCATATTATTTTTCTTTAATTTCTTTGTCCCACTTCCCATCATGTCTAATGAGGTAGGTTTTGTAATGTTGTATCTTAGGGATTTTGCCAAGGAAAAGCAGAGATGTCTTCATGTCAGTAGTTTTCTTGCCTTTTGTAAAGGGTTAAATATTATGTGTCCATGAACTCAACTTAGATCCCTTGCATTAACACTTTTTACTAAGAGTGGAAAAGGGACCAATATGGAAAGGTGTTTAATCAACTAATAAGTCAGTATATCATCAGTTCACATAGATGATATGTATAGTGTTCATAGATATTAATGCATTTGCAGTGGAAGGGTATTTATACCATGTAACCAAATAGACAATTATTAATGCCACTGTTACATAGCTCAAAGATTTCTTCTTAAATAATACAGTTGACAATACTTCACGAAAATGGAGATCATTGAAATTGAGGTTTTTAACAAATGTTTATTTAGAACCCCAGAGCTTAATTCTCTTAAGCTTTTTTACTTTCATGAATTTAAGTCAATTGTTTTTCCTTTTTTTAAGGTTTGTAATTGATTTTTAAAATAACAAGATAAAAGGAATTACCTTCTTTAAACTACTTATTTGTTTAAGTAGGCAAATAATTAGCCATTGGTCTATTTAAAAAAATATTTTCCAAATGTTGCTCTAGGAAACAAAATCTGGATTTAATTTGTGAGAAGTGCACACACAAATAAAAAAATAACAATGAAATTCTGTCTTCTGCACTCCTTTTGCACTTTAAAAAACTGCTGACACATTGAAACTCACTACTAAAAAGTGGTTTTGATCTACACTCACAATCTATGAGACTATGTTAAATAATCTTGATATTATCTCCATGAAATTTTCAGAATTGTTGGTTGTGATGGACCACCTTACCCTGTTCCCTGAAGTCTTGAATAACAAAGATGCTTGTAAAATGGATTAAACTAAAAACAGCTTTTCTTGATGATTAGACTTGGAAGATTTCAGATCTTTGTACTATATTGACATTCTTTTATTGAATTCTCTAAAATATTACAAAACAACCATTTAATAAAGCAAAACCAAATAGATTAGAAGTCACTGCAGTGAGTTAGAACACCACTTTGACAGAGCTCAACAATATGTCACAAGAAGGAAGTCTGAATGGATGTTTATAGGGTGTTGGGGTCTGGGCAAATATTTCAAGGTGGAGAGATTATGGAAATTGGGCAAAATTTGTAACAGGATAAAATGTATTTAGGTTTGGTGAGCAGAGTTAGGGGAGTGTCTTAAGGGAAGCTTTGATGGATAAACTATTATTTGATAAGACATTCTATGCTTAAGTAATTAAACTATTGTCTCAGATAAATGCATTAATGTCTTGTAGAAAATAATATTTAATGGTTTTGTGGTCTTAACTTTCCTGGGCAAAGATTTATTGAACAACTAAGTTATGTTGCTACAGGTATTCTCACTTCTCACTTTTCATTTTGATATATATATTTCTAGTTTATTCTTTTCACAAAGACTCAGAGTTGTAGGCCCCAGGGATGCCTTTTAGAGGTAAGCCCATGAGCTTTGGAGAAATTAACATATTGTTATTTTTACAATACCACTAAAAAGGGTTGTGCAAGGTTTGTAGTTGATGGAAAATAAGAATGAGGGGAAAAATAAGCATACTGCCTGTATTTGAGGAGGACTGATTTTTACTGCTGAGAATCATCTTCAGGGTATGACACACCAGAGCCATTGACTTTGGCTCCACTTTTTACAAGATTCCATGCTGAAGTGGGGCCAGGGAACGTATTTAGAAAAGGAGACAACATTTTCCAGCAAGACTTTTAATGCTCTTAAACGAGGTGTTGATCACAGAGTCTTTACATAGGGCAGGGACAAGGTAGTTGTTGATAATATATCTGCTTGGCAAAGATGATGTTCACGTTCATTTGCTCTCAGTTAATAAATCCATTTGGCTGTTCAACAATAATGCATATTAGTTTTTATTTTTTAAATAGCTGGACACGTTGCTTCAGATCTTTTGTGTGATTCTAATAGCAGACGTGGTATATTTTGGATAGTAAAATCAATTCTGTTTGGATTTAAAAGGTAAGTCCTTGTCAAAATTCATAATTTTATTTTTAATAACCTTAGCACAATTCTATTTGTGATTGGTCTGTGATTCCAGTGGCTTGACTTCTAATGCTCATCATTTGGTTTTTCTTCCAGGGAACAGGTGGCTGCAATTTTAGCCATTCTTCAATATCCAGTAATAAGGCTGAAAGGAAGTCATCTCTATCTTTCCTGCTAAGGTGAGAGATGTGTCTGCTCAGGGGTATTGAGTCAGAAGTGATAGCATGAATTACACAAGAAAACCAACAGATGCTTATTAATAGTATGACCTTAGACAAGTTACAAAAACTCACTTAATCTTAAATTCTTCACTTATCAATGGAGATAAACACAATGCTTATTTCTTAAGGTTGTTAAGAAGATTAAATGGGAAAATATATGCATAAAGCATTGAGCTGAGTACATGGCATAGTCAACAATGAATGATTGTTGTTATTGTATTTATTAAGGATGTATTTGGGATCCCTGGGTGGCGCAGCAGTTTGGCGCCTGCCTTTGGCCCAGGGCGCGATCCTGGAGACTCGGGATCGAGTCCCACATCGGGCTCCCGGCGCATGGAGCCTGCTTCTCCCTCAGCCTATGTCTCTGCCTCTCTCTCTCTCTCTCTCTCTCTGTGACTATCATAAATTAAAAAAAAATAAATAAATATAAAAAAGGATGTATTAAAATATGTCACATATTTATGATATATAATAATACATAAGATGGGACAAAATAATAGAAATTTATCTCTGATTAGACGGATTGGTAATCTCTTCATTAGAGAATCATGAGGGAAAAAGTGCCAATACAGAGAAATAAATGGTTGGGGCGTGATGTTTGTTTATAGTTACTGGTTATACCTACAACATATTCATTAGCATTTTTATCTTATATCTTTATTATTGTACTGAATACAACATACTTCTAAATATGTTGGCAAATATATTTTCCTTAATGGAGTGTTAGTTTTCTACCAGAGTCTGAATAAAACTTTAAGTATTCAATAAATACATCAGGGCTTCTTTGAAAAACATTTGGTCATAGTAATAATGCTTGAGTACTATTTGATCAAATCTCCCCTAACAAATGTATTCCAATATCCTCCAGATTTAAATAATAGGATGCAAAATTGAGAATAGACCTCCACAGCTTCAGCATTAGAATAGTCAAATGGGAATCCCATGAATCTATGTCTTCCTTTATTAAGATTTACCCCATAGAAAATAGTTTTCTTCTCATGAAACACGGTGTTCTTTTATCTGTGGGACAGAGGCCTATTTGTTGACCCTGGTATGCAGCAGCTTCCTGCCACAACATCATTGACAACTGGCAATGGTAGCTCTGGAAATTGATGAAGACAAGGTTTTGTTTTTTTTTTTTTGTTTTTTTTTTTAGACAAGGTCTTTTATTAAGTGACAAATAAACCTTAGGTAAAATGGCAATCCCTGTGCCACAGGCTGCCTATGTTCTCTGGGAGAAATATATAAATACATAAAACTATTGCATGTAGGAGTTAGTTTAATACTTTGTACCTGGAGTTAAACTTTGCAATCAATTCTTCTCATGCCTTTGTTAAACCTTCTTTAAATAGAATTGAAAACTAGACTGAAATTGGAGTCCTTTATAATGAAAACATTACAAAAGTCAAAGTCAAAAATATCTTTATAGTAATCAAACTGTAAAGATAGAAAAAATGCTATTTTTAAATACCACAACTCAGAGTTTGTTTCAATCATAATAGATTTCTTTTAAAAACATGCAAAATTAATTTATTGTCAAAATTTTTAGTGCCACTCCATTTTCATTGTCTTACTTACCACCAGATTCGATGAATTGATCTACTTGAGTGTTTTAGGTCAGGTTTTATTATTTGGTGGAAGACTATCAAAGTAAGGAGAAAGTTGTTTTTCCTTCCTTGTTAAGTATACAGCCAGAAAGAACAACAATATTTTCAAGTTAAAAAGTCATTGCAACCTAATTGAAAACTTCAGGCCAAATGCTGGGAACGCTGTGGTTTTACCATTCTAAAACAAAAATTGAAAACAGATTCTAGTTGGCTTTAAAAAATAATCTGGCTAATAATCAAGATAGATAATGAGCAAACACATAAAGTACAGTTAAAGAAGAAAATATTCTGAAATGAACAGGAAGAAGAAACAGGTTAAATAAATAAGGTCTAACAAATCCATTCACTTGGCTAAAGCGTTAAGATTTTCATTTGCGTGGTTAATATAGAGCAACTTGATTTTCCAAAGATAACATCGAAGGAATGTCTGGAGAGGACTCGGATGTGTCTGGATTTTGCCCAGTTCTAAACAAGGATTAACACCAACCATACATATATCTGCTATGAACCCAGACTGTCTCTTAAAGCTATTGCATCATTCATCCTATTCTTTGAGGACCAAAAAACAAATAAAACATTTGCGCCTTACAACCAAGAGATTGTGTACAACTCATGAGTTGGCACCTTCTGTAAAATTTAAGCTATTGATCACCATTAGTAGAACACCTGTTTTGAATTATTTTCCTAGTTTGCAAATGAATTTAGGTCATACCTTTTTTATTCACTGAAGATAAACATTGTGTGTGATATATATGTATAAGCATATATATTTTATATATATGAGCATATATAGAACACATATATATGATTTATAGTAGACCACATATATGTGTGTGTATATAACACATACAACACACATACATATATATATTTTTTGAATATTGAATATATATATTTCAATGAACAAAAAAGAATCCAGTAGAGGTATAACCTAAATTCATTTACAAACTGAGAAAGTAGCTCAAAACATATGTTCTACTGATGGTAATTTACATTTTATATATATATATGACATATGTACATTTGATATATATATCCATTGAAAACTACATATATAAACATAGATATATGTAATATATACAACTTATAAATATATATATACACACATACATGTTTAGACATATATAGAAATTGTATATAGAAAGAGAAGTTAGAAATCCTGAAGTTGAATATTGAATTCTGGCTCTATCTCTTCATAGCTGTATCCTCTTGGGTAAATTACTTAACTTCTCTAATCCTATGATAACATTTGTAAAATGAGGATAATGTTGTGCTAGTTTCTTAAGAAAAAGCCTTATGCTTTGGAAGAGAAATCAGTGAAAGAGCTTGGCTAGGTAATTTTAGATGTACATCTACCTCTGAGTTAACATTGAGTGTACATGTCGTGCAGGTGGAAGATCCAGGATATCATCTACATTACTAACGAGCATCATCTTACAAATAAAGAACAGCTTTCTCATTACCTTTAATTGAGTTTTTTCTTCCCTACCCTTTGCATATAGCTTTCTCCAAATAATAACAAAAATAATGATATAAGTTGAGAAAGGAAAATAATTGACTACCAAGTTTAACTACAGCTTCAGAATATTAACCTAAATTCTAAATAAAATAGTTTTATGTTTGAGCATTATTAGGAGACCATTAAACACCTCTATTGACAATATTCCATTTTCATGTTATGGTTCCATACCTTGTAGCACACAGGTTGCAAATATCTTCCAGCTCATTATTTTTCTTTTTAACTTAGTTCATTTTAAAAACTTTCTGCCTCAAAGCTTTTCATTTTGACTCATGAAAATCCAATAATTTTTTCATGTCTAGCTTTTCCCCTTAGTGTCATAGTTAATTCCCACATCATGATAACCTATATTTTCATCTGATTCTCCTCCAATATTTTATTATGAAATATCTCAAACTTAGAAAACCTTAAAGGAATTTTACAGTAAAAACGTATATTCTTACCATCTAGGTTCTACCATTAACATTGCACCTTACTTACTTTTTAAATATATCTCTCCATCTTTCCATAAGTTTATCCATCATGTCCATCTATTTTATGCATTTCAAAGTAATCTGCAGACATAAATGACTTGTCCCAAATACTCCAGTATGTCCACCATATGTATTTGATATATATTTTGTCTTTTTACTCTTGCATATGGTTTTTGTTTCCTATGGCTGCTGAAACAAATTACCACAAACTGGGTGGTTTACAAGAGCATATTTATTCTCTTCCAGTTCTGGAGGCCAAAAGTGAGAAATCAGTTTCACTGGGCTCAAAGTGGTGGCAAGGCTGCTTCCTTCTGGAGGCTCTGGGGAGAATCCACTTCCATAATTTTGTAGCTTCTAGACTGTGTTCTTGGCTTGTGGTCCCTTTCTCATATCACTCCAACTTCTTTCTTCCACTGTTGTTTCTCTTCTGTAGTCAGATTTCTCTGCCTTCGCCTTTCTTAGAAGCACATGAGTGATTACATTGAGTGTAGTCCAGAAATTCCAGGATAATCTTTCTAACTCAAGATCCTTAACTTAATCACATCTGCAAAATAATATTTTGCAGATAAGGTAACATTTTGTCATATAAGGTAACATTAACAGGTTCTAAAAGATTAGGACCTGGATATCTTTATGGCTGTTATTCAGCCTACCATACTTGCAAACACTTATTTTATCTTTTTTTTAACAACATCAAGTAAAAATTTGATTGCGTTTTTTCCAAATAATTACCCGAATTATTGAAAACTTCAATATAAATGATTTTAAAGTTAAGAATTTTCAAATATAATTAAGATGATACCTTTATCATATATGATATTTCTCATGTTTTCTCTATACACTAAACTCAAGTTACCAATGACAAAATATGATAATGATTTGATTTATTGAATCTAATTATAGGTGCTTTAAAATTTTCTTTACAGTTGGGGAAAAAAGTGAAAAATTGAAGAATATAACTAAATTGCTGCAAGAAAATGGCTACCAAATTCCGATACACTAATTTATTCTCTGCCAGAATGTTTATACTGAATAATTATCTTATATGAGAGAAGGTTATTTTAATTCATATATGGAATATAAGAAAGAACAAATAACACCCACTCAGCTCTGTCAGATATTAAATGATGAGAAGGTAAGACAAATGACATAATCAGAAAACAAGCCAAAAGGCTAAAATATATTTACATCAAAATTTACATGTCAATTCTAAAATATTTAAAGCATTAACATTTCAGTTATCTTCCTTCCAGTAAAGGCAACACCTGTTCTTAATAAACATATTTTCCCTCAATTGTCTGTTTTCTGAACGAGTTATGGAATTACTAGCATTAAAACATTTTAATTAAAACAAAACCT